TTGAATGTTCATTTCTTTCCCATAAGCCACATCCAATGTCGTTTTAGAGAATTTGACAGTACGTCCAACTGGCCTCACAACCGCAGACGTGGCACCAGCCCAGGACTTCCACATCCGGCTTCTTCACCTGCGGGATTGTCTGAGGTGGGGTGCTGAGGAGGATTTCTGTCTGTAATAAAGCCATTTTGTGGCTCCCCAGTGGGTGAGCCTGGCTGCCAAGTGGGTGGGCCTATGCCCTCCAAGGCCCACCCATGGCTGCACCCCTGCCCAGTCGTGAAATCCATAGATTAGGGCCTAATGAATTTAATTAAACTGACTGATTTCCTTATATGATCTGTAACTCAGTAAAATCTTTGAAATTGTTGCATGTTGCATTTATATTTTTGTTCAGTATACATACACACACAACAAGAGTTTAGTTGGGGAAATTGGGAAAGACATATGATGCGTATTCAGTGAACCAATGTGTTGTCCTGCAGTCTGATATCAATTCAAATTAATGCCTGGTATAAAATGAATGACTACAGTGATATTTATATAGGCCTTTTAGAAACTAATAAATATTTGGCATGGGTTTATTTTTTCTGCAACTAGATGATAATGATCTAGCACCTATTGCACGTAAGCTTCATAAGCAAGTAGGGTAATTACAGTATAGACAGTGTTACATATACCCAGGTAACAATCAGTTCTGGGCCACACACCACCATTCATGACTACAGTGATATTTGTATAGGCCTTTTAGAAATGTATCAATATTTGGCATGGGTTTTATTTTTCTACAGATACCTCTAGTAGCTGACTAAACATCAGTAATGAAGGAAGAGAATGATGTGGCACTTATTACATGTAAGCTACATAAGCAAGTAGAATGTCATTACCGTGTAGACATGGATATTAGCGTGCTTACGTCTCACATACCTGCAGAATGTGTATATATGTAACCCTCTTACGAAAGGCGTGGATATATAGGCAACAATCTACTTGTAGTTACAGCATACCAGTCTATGGACATATATTAGGGACACACATTACGTGGACATGTGGTTGTTAGACAGACTGAATAATCTGTGTTTGGTGATCAAATGACCATCCAGACATTTGGCATGTCCGCTTCCCCCTGGGTCTCAGGGCAGAAGGTCCTGGTAGGAGCCAGTGTGGGTTAGGAACCAAGTGAGTGATCAAACGAGGGCCCTCGTAGCGAGATGGTGTGAAGATAGCCTGTTACCGTGTATAAATGGAGCAAACAAGGCCTTTAGGAAAGGTGTTGAAATGTTCTTGATCCACAACCAATAATCTGTTTGGCTATTTCAAAACAAACAAAAAAAGACTTAGGAAATAAAAGCAAAACCATACCATACCGTATGTGCTTTAAAAAGTCACGCGCTTGTTCATTTGGACTACCCTTCACGTAGCTTCCCCTCCCAGAGTCTCAATGATTTGACTGTTATAGACACTTAAATAAACATCACAAAGTTGGGACACACAAAACGTTTCTAACATATCTTTACCTTTGCCCTGCCTCCAAAGTCGACCTGTTACATAACACAAAAGAGACACACGAAAAAGATAAGCGGCTTTGATATTTGACATTTTTGTTCTTGAGAATGTAAATCTCCAACATTGTTTTGGTTATTGGCATGATAGACTAGCAAGCCAGGGCAGTCTGCATTCCACCATAATACTTATTGTCAGTGATTCATTCTGCTGTGTCACACCACATCTGGTAACCTGTCAGAGAAGTGGAAGGGGGGGAGAGCAGGCCTGTCAGAGATGTGGAAGCGGGGGGAGAGCAGGCCTGTCAGAGAAGTGGAAGTGGGGGGAGAGCAGGCCTGTCAGAGAAGTGGAAGCGGGGGGAGAGCAGGCCTGTCAGAGAAGTGGAAGCGGGGGGAGAGCAGGCCTGTCAGAGATGTGGAAGCGGGGGGAGAGCAGGCTTGTCAGAGAAGTGGAAGCGGGGGGAGAGCAGGCCTGTCAGAGAAGTGGAAGCGGGGGGAGAGCAGGCCTGTCAGAGAAGTGGAAGCGGGGGGAGAGCAGGCCTGTCAGAGAAGTGGAAGCGGAGGGAGAGCAGGCCTGTCAGAGAAGTGGAAGCGGGGGCATAAGAGCTCACTCACTCCCCTTCCTTGTTCCCTCACCACCTCATCCTCCTCTTCGGTCATGGCTAGAAGGGATCCAGCTTTTGTCAAATTAACTTCACATTTGACTTTCCATAGCAGATTAGGATAATTAACATAGTAGGTTAGGAGAATTAGGTCAAGGTTAGCTAAAATGTAAAAAATAGATTTATTTTTGACAAAAGCTGGATCCCATCTAGCCATCCCTCCTCCTCCTCTAAACTCCTAAACTGGCTCCTAGGATTCATTGCAAACACATTTTTGTCCAGAGGAGAAGGGTCCATTTGTTTATGGGGAACATCATGTTCCCAGACAGTACAGCAAACTGCAGACATTTCAAGGGAATTCTGGTGGAAAGAGACCAAGACATTAGCTGATAATGGTTCTTCGTGAATGGCTCCACATAAAATGGGTAAATAAAAACAAACACAATAGGATTAAAAATATGGGGACTGTTTTGGTCTCTATGCAAAGAATTGTTTAGCTCTTGGTGGACACCTGGGACTAGTGAAACTGTGCTGTCCCCTACTGGACAACAATGATAAAACGGTGAAACGTTGAGATGACAGAAGTCTTACAGAAAACTACAGAAGCATGATTCTCCTTGTTCAAAACTCAAAGTTTGTAACTGAAATTGTTACTCATTTTACATCCGTACTTATCTGGTATTACGTAGATCTGTCTATTTTTTTGCCTCTTACTTCCGGTTTTGTAAACAAGCTTCAAACAACTGAAAATATTTGTGGTTACAGCGGTTTAGATTGCACAATGATTCTCTACACTATACATTGTTTGTTTTGTCAAACTGAAATTAGGCGAACTATTAGAATTTGAACAACCAGGAAATGGCAGAGCGATTTCTGAATATTGCACCTTTAAACTAGGGTCTAAATGCATCTTATAAAGACTCAAGGAAGCCTTCGTAAGATCTTTATTAGGGCCTATATAAATGCATCAAATGCGTCACTCTACATAGCAGATTGACTTTTCATCAGCAAGTTTGACCATCCAAAGCACCTGCAGGGGACACTTGAGTCCATACCCCACACTCTGCCATTGTGTGAACAAATAGAGTGAATCATAGGAGGAAGGGAGGTACATTACGCAGAAATAGGAAATGATCATTCCACTCATACTAGATATTGTTCCTGAGTCACTGATGCAGGATGAGTCAGTGAAGCTCAAGGAAGTCTTAAACATTTAGTTCTACTTGTAATAAACCAAACTGCATTACCTGTTCAGTTTTCAATGCAAAGTACTAAGCATACTGTATATGTCCATTGAATGTAATCAAGTTATTAACGACTGATGATTGTTTGATTCTAAGAATAACAAAGGGCTACATAAAACCTGTTCTTATAGTCGAACTACATGTTTCAACACAAGACTCCTTCATTACAACAGTGGTGGTTAGGGTCATTATTTTGCGGTGAAGTAGGAATAACTTGTCACTTGTCATTGTGAATCACATTTGTCAGCTCTTTTCTGATAACAATCACAATCACAGAGCATGCAAAGTTTGAGGTCACTTTTTCTAGCCAGCCTTGGGTACATTTCCTTCTGTACCATAACAAAGGTATGGGAGAAGATTGATAGGAGACCAAATGTTAAGAGGTTTTGGGGTCTTTGTAGAGTATGTTTGCAATCCTTGACAACTTCATTCTCAGTGAGAGAGGAACAGGCCTTGTTCTTTACCAATATGGGCCCTGATCTCAAAAGGATAGAACAGAACTGGAAGAGTTTACTTCCAAATTTATTCAAACCGTTTGGACTATTCCGGTAGGTTGCCACAGATTTCTAATACCTCTGACTTGAATTACTTCATCACCTTGAACAAACTCTGGGAAAGGGTTTATGAACGGAGGGATGGAGCTCAGTGTTTGTTTGAAAAGCTCTCCTCAATGATAAACAGACAAAATAATTGAATCACATCTCCGGTAGATTGCATTTCAATTCAACTGAGGGACTATAAAAGTTAATTAAAAATCACAAAGACCAGTGTTGTCATGGCAGCATGTGCAGGTGACACCGTTTACACACCCAAGCGAAGGACAGAACCACTAAACCCAACAGAAGCTTCACACCCATCCAGGCTCTTTTGATCATGACCGCCACTGACTGGCTGAATAGACCCATAGCAATAGATACACAAATCTGAACGGAAATACCCCATTATAAATTTTTCAAACGTCCTTGTCTGATGTATGGGGAAATGAATGGAAGCCCACTTCAACATGGTTTGATCGAATGTACCAATGTGGGCGATGAATGAAGAGGATTAAAATAATCCAATAATAATAATAATAATAATCTCATCACTATGAAACAGCACACCCACTTTGTACTGAAAGACAGTTCTCAGCAAACAGAATATTGGTTTTCCTAAAAATGTACCTCAGTTCTGTCAAATGTTCAATTATAATTTCTGAAACTTACAAGTTCAAGAATACGGGTTGAAGAACAATTGCGACAATATAGACATTTCCCCCTCCCAAATACACCTACTAATGGTTTATGATATAAAAGTCATGAATTGCTGATAGTCTAGTCCCAGATCTGTTTGTGCCATCTTGTCTGGCTTGGAAAGATAGGTCAAACCGATCTGGGTGTAAGCCACATTGCTGGTCCTTTCCAGTAAAGAGGAAATGTCTCAGCACACTAATAAGACTTTTTACACACCCGATTCCTGATTATGAACTCTGATCTCATCTCAGGAAATTAAGAGGCAGGTTGCTAAGGAATGCCCAATCACCCGATATTTCCTGTAAACCTGACATGCTGTTCTTGCATGCACAAGATTACCCCATCAACCACTAGGTAACCCACACGGAACAGGTCACTTATCTTTCACTTTGACACAACAAACAAAACGAGTCAAGACGATAGTGTCATGTTGACGTTGTCTTTCAAGACTTTAATAAAAGTAATCTACAAAAGTGGTGATACCAGTGAAGCAGTCATTTATACATTTTGACCGGTGTCCCTGCTCAACAGTAGTCAGATAGGAACTCTTAAAATACTGTCCTCTACCAGATTGGATACATTTTACATACACACAACGCAGAGGCAAACGAAACAGCAAGATCAAACTGATACAAAGAAGCAGTCATTTAATTATCCACTGAAAACTTTGAAAGTATATATTACTATTTTTTACATTCAGTACAATTTGTGTTTTATGTATTCATTCATTCATTAGAATTACTAACAGTGTTTTCTGAAGCAGGCTATACCAGATATTTGAATGATGGTTCAGAGGCTCTCTTTTGACTTCTCCAACATGCACCTTTTTGGTTAACACTTTGGTAGAAGTTGGAACTGGGAGTCGTCTTTAATCTGAGGCCGACGACCCCGATGTGGAGAAACGGCAAGGACGACACCATGAGAAATACTGATAAAAACAAAAACATATCCATTGCCTCACAAACTCAATTTTTCATTTTCCATATCTGAGATATCGGATAATATACACTTCTGACGAGAAATAATTATTATTAAAAAATGCCTGGAATGTTGATGGCTTGCCAGAGAAGAGACAAAATAAACATATTTTAGGACATAATATTTCACTTCTACAGAGTAAAAATGACCAGGCGTTTCCACCACACATTGGATCAGATAATTATTTATTTATATTCAGTCAAACCCTGGCTGTGTGCCAGCTGTTAACATACTACAGGAGTCTTCGTATGTATGTATGTATGTATGTATGTATGTATGTATGTATGTACAGTGGGGAAAAAAAGTATTTAGCCACCAATTGTGCAAGTTCTCCCACTTAAAAAGATGAGGCGCCTGTAATTTTCATCATAGGTACACGTCAACTATGACAGACAAATGTAGAATTTTTTCTCTCCAGAAAATCACATTGTAGGATTTTTAATGAAATTATTTGCAAATTATGCTGGAAAATAAGTATTTTGGTCACCTACAAACAAGCAAGATTTCTGGCTCTCACAGACCTGTAACAACTTATTTAAGAGGCTCCTCTGTCCTCCACTCGTTACCTGTATTAATGGCACCTGTTTGAACTTGTTATCAGTATAAAAGACACCTGTCCACAACCTCAAACAGTCACACTCCAAACTCCACTATGGCCAAGACCAAAGAGCTGTCAAAGGACACCAGAAACAAAATTGTAGAGCTGCACCAGGCTGGGAAGACTGAATCTGCAATAGGTAAGCAGCTTGGTTTGAATAAATCAACTGTGGGAGCAATTATTAGGAAATGGAAGACATACTGATAATCTCCCTCGATCTGGGGCTCCACGCACGATCTCACCCCGTGGGGTCAAAATGATTCCAAGAACGGTGAGCAAAAATCCCAGAAGCACACGGGGGGACCTAGTGAATGACCTGCAGAGAGCTGGGACCAAAGTAACAAAGCCTACCATCAGTAACACACTACGCCGCCAGGGACTCAAATCCTGCAGTGCCAGACGTGTCCCCCTGCTTAAGCCAGTACATGTCCAGGCCCGTCTGTTGTTTGCTAGAGTGCATTTGGATGATCCAGAAGAGGATTGGGAGAATGTCATATGGTCAGATGAAACCAAAATATAACTTTTTGGTAAAAACTCAACTTGTCATGTTTGGAGGACAAAGAATGCTGAGTTGCATCCAAAGAACACCATACCCTACTGTGAAGCATGGGGGTGGAAACATCATGCTTTGGGGCTGTTTTTCTGCAAAGGGACCAGGACGACTGATCCGTGTAAAGGAAAGAATGAATGGGGCCATGTATCGTGAGATTTTGAGTGAAAACCTCCTTCCATCAGCAAGGGCATTGAAGATGAAACGTGGCTGGGTCTTTCAGCATGACAATGATCCCAAACACACCGCCCGGGCAACGAAGGAGTGGCTTTGTAAGAAGCATTTCAAGGTCCTGGAGTGGCCTAGCCAGTCTCCAGATCTCAACCCCATAGAAAATCTTTGGAGGGAGTTGAAAGTCCGTGTTGCCCAGCGACAGCCCCAAAACATCACTGCTCTAGAGGAGATCTGCATGGAGGAATGGGCCAAAATACCAGCAACAGTGTGTGAAAACCTTGTGAAGACTTACAGAAAACGTTTGACCTGTGTCATTGCCAACAAAGGGTATATAACAAAGTATTGAGAAACTTTTGTTATTGACCAAATACTTATTTATTTTCCACCATAATTTGCAAATTAATTAATTAAAAATCCTACAATGTGATTTTCTGGATTTTTTTCTTCTCATTTTGTCTGTCATAGTTGACGTGTACCTATGATGAAAATTACAGGCCTCTCTCATCTTTTTAAGTGGGAGAACTTGCACAATTGGTGGCTGACTAAATGCTTTTTTTCCCCCACTGTATGTGTGTGTGTGTATAATATACATATACATATATACATATACATATACACACACATATATATATATATATATATATATATATATATATATATATGGGTGTTTAAGTTGGACGAAGGGTTCGGTTCACCCCTTGTGCCTTTGGACAGAGGGACATCGGTCCTAGCCCACCACAGTGACTGGGTTAAGGGCCAGGACGTCAAACAGCACTCATCCATCCCTAGAGAGGGGTGGTGCACCTCTGAGAAAGACACACAGGGTGCCTTGTGAAAGCAGCCAAGTATCCCCGCTATCTAGCAGGCTGTCCCATAGATAGTAACTCACCTCATATTATGTTGCCTTGTATGTCCACCCTACAGGCCCCCTCAGTGCATTTATTGGCTCAATCTTTCAGACAGTATTATACGGACCCACTGTTTCCCCACCCACCCCCTAATCCCAAATGAGTGGTTTCATCCGTTCAGACCCCCCCCCGGTTTCAGATCAACTTATTGGTTTTTCCTGAGAAGCGATTGGTCTTGGGTGTAGAATTTGAGAGGGGGCCAGGTTGGCGCAGAGCTACGAGGCGAGAGATCTAAGATGGAGAACAGGACAGCCCGTTAAACGAGCAGGGTTTAACCTCAGCAGCCCGTCTGGGTGATGTCACCGCCCGAGCTCTTGGTCACCTCCATGGTGGTGAAGATCTGGAAGAGAGGGAGGAGAAAGCCCGTTGAGCTCTGCATCGTAGCGAGGTGGCATGACTCGTTCGCAATATTATTTTTTATGGTCAAAGCCAAGCGAGCAAAGCTCCAACCATAGAGATGGATAGAGGGTGCACTTGCCACGAAAGACTGATGGCATTCGCCTTGAACATTATGTAGTTACCTATGACAGGGGTTCTCAGTGGGGTCCGCGGACAAAGTACTGCAGAGGGCCCGCAGCCAGATCTCAAAATATATGTATTTTCGTTATTCTTTACAAATATTACTAAAAAGATTAAATGGATTTTGGCCAAGGAATCTGTGAAATAAGTTGAGGGTGTAACACAATGCAATGTAATATTATTAATCTACAGTGTATACTACCGTTCAAAAGTTTGGGGTCACTTAGACATTTCCTTGTTTTCGAAAGAAAAGCAATTTTTTTGTCCATTAAAATAAAATAGATCAAAGACTGACGAGTTTCAGAAGAAAGTTATTTGTTTCTGGCTATTTTGAGCCTGTAATCGAACCCACAATTGCTGAAGCTCCAGATACTCAACTAGTCTCAAGAAGGCCAGTTTTATTGCTTCTTTAATCAGCACAACAGTTTTCAGCTGTGCTAACAATTGCAAAAGGGTTTTAAATTTTTACATTTTAGTCATTTAGCAGACGCTCTTATCCAGAGCGACTTACAGTTAGTGAATACATTTTTTTTTTTTATACTGGCCCCCCGTGGGAATCGAACCCACAACCCTGGCGTTGCAAACGCCATGCTCTATCAACTGAGCTACATCCCTGCCGGCCATTCCCTCCCCTACCCTGGACGACGCTGGGCCAATTGTGCGCCGCCCATGAGTCTCCCGGTCGCGGCCGGCTGCGACAGAGCCTGGATTCGAACCAGGATCTCTAGTGGCACAGTTAGCACTGCGATGCGGCGCCTTAGACCACTGCGCCACTCAGGAGGCTAATGATCAATTAGCCTTTTAAAATGATAGTTGGATTAGCAAACAACGTGCCATTGGAACACAGGACTGATGGTTGCTGATAAATAGGCCTCTGTACACCAATGTAGATATCCCGTTAAAAATCAGCCGTTACCAGCTACAATAGCCATTTACAACATTAACAATGTCTACACCATATTTCTGATCAATTTGATGTTAAAAAATTGTAGTGTATGTTCTTAACCCTGGGAAACATGGGCCTGGAGGCTCACTGGGTTATGGTATCCACAGCACCAATTATCAATATTTCAACTCAATACTTCCATTACCCATTTTTTTCCCCTTCATAAATTAACTGTAATTTCTGCTTTAAAACTGCAACGTTTTCTCTCCGCCTCTTGAAATACTTTGTAGAATTGCAGGAAATTAGCATGACAACTGTTACATTTTCTCTACGATGCCAAGAGGCAGGCCTTTAAAAAAAGGTTCCTTCCCTGGGCCCAAGACTTGGTTTGTCCAGCCATGCACTGTCAAAGTCATAAAACGTATTGTATGCAATTTTCTATCCAACTCGAGTTGTGTTCTGATGAGGGGATCCCTGATGAATTTGAGAACCCCTGACCTATGGTACTAACGGTCACCTGTTACAGTGGTTTGTTTTTCAGCCTTCAGTTGACAATACTTCTTCAATTCTTGATTTGAGAGGTTCTAATTTGTCTAAAAATCTGTCGTGGCTCACTGCCATATCAACTTAGCTAATCAGACAGTGCTCGGAGTATGAAACCACTTTTTTTGCACTGTGGAGGGACTTATTATACCTGCCACCATGTTGTTGTTTTTTTTTGGGGGGGGGGGATGTCTATCAGAGGCAGTCACAGAAGCAATTCATGGGAAAGATAGGACGTACGCCATCTATCCACCTAGGTAGAGCATGGTGCTTCCAACGCCAATGGTAGTGGGGGCAAAAAGAAGGGAGCAACTAAAATGAAATGCGGCCTGCAGCTGGTCTGGGATCAGTCTTACCTCAGCGCAGGTGGGGTGTATGCCGATGGTGTTGTCAAGATGCTCTTTGGTCAGGCCACACTTCATGGCCACGCCGTAGCCCTGCGTCACCTCTCCCGCGTTGGGCCCCAGGTAATGGAACCCGATCACACGGTCCTGCAGGGAGAGAGAGAGAGCGGTGTTACGGGGTCTGATAGATCAAGTGTATCGGTAATCTACCATTTTGTTATGTTAGCCAGACCCCGCATGTAGGAACGTGTATTCTTCTTCAATATGGCTATTGAATTTGGTGTCAAAGTGACAATGGGTTCACATAGCCTCTTGACCAGAGACAAGGGTGGAAGCCTTTTGTTCCCATGTAATTTCTCTGGCTCCCGCACATTCTCCGTTTTCAATGTGAGAAGGTCTGAACTCTATATGGCAAAATAGGTGACAATAATTGCTGTACCTATGAATTAAACAGGTAGTCAGGTAAGTTTGAAAAGAGGGGGGTTCTTACATTGTCCAGTTTATTGCAGATGATCTTGGAGTAGCACTTGTTGTTGTCCCTGTTGGGGATGGTGAACTCCAGAGGCCAGAAGAGACTGTGGTACACCTACACAGTTAACAAGGACATTAAATACACATACCGTAAAGGCAGAATAACATGCATTTTATTAATACTAAAAACATTTCTGTTAGGTATCAGTTAGAAAATATGAAAGAAGAAGCAGAAACCATAAGTGAACACACAGAATCACACAAGTTATGGTTTTCCACTGTCAAATAATAGTAGGCCATTTTAGCTGGCGAGTCGAAGGCTTTGTTCCAGTGTCCACATTTCAACTGGAATGCTAGCTAGAGTGCATATGCGAGCAGAGACAAAATGTCAGTTGATATCGGTCCGATATGTATTCTTCAGTGCCAGTGGGCTGCGAGTGTGTGTGATGTGGCTGAAGTACCAATCAGGGCCTAAAACTAACTTTGGCTACCAGCCACTGTGGCAGGTAGTTGTAAAAAAAAAAAAAAAATCTACCAGTCCCTCAGATTCTTTTACCAGACAATTTCTGGTTGCTGCCATAATTACAAAATAAATATATAATACAAAAAATTAACACGCTTACTAATCTTTCTAAAACAAGAAATGTATTACTAGTAAGAAATAATGTGGTATATTGCTCAATTTAATATTATGTGACCTGAGTCTTTTAACCAGAACATCACAGATAATACCAATTCAGCTGCCCCTTTAAGGTTACCTAGGTAACGAGGCATGCCTGTGAGGAATCTCAATAGTAGAGGCCAAAAATGTCTCTTTGCTAGCAGTGGAAGCAAACTCCAAAAACATTGAAAAGCAATGTAGCCTGTGAACATAACAACGTATACTGAATAAAAATATAAAACGCAACATGTAAAAGTGTTGGTCCCATGTTTCATGAGATTAAATAAAAGATCCCATCAAATGTTCCATACGCACAAAAAGCTTGTTTCTCTCAAATTTTCGCCACAAATTTGTTTACATCCCTGCTAGTGAGCATGTATCCTTTGCCAAGATAACCCATCCACCTGACAGGTGTGGCATATCAAGAAGCTGATTAAAGAGCATGATCATTACACAGGTGCACCTTGTGCTGGGGACAATAAAAGGCCACAAAAGATGTGCAGTTTTGTCACAACGCCACAGATGTCTCAAGTTGAGAGAGCGTGCCAGAGAATTGAATGTTCATTTCTCTACCATAAGCCGCCTCCAACATCATTTTAGAGGATTTGGCAGTACGTCCAACCGGCCTCACAACCGCAAACCACGTGTAACCACACCAGCCCAGGAACTCCACATGCTGCTTCTTCACCTGCAGGATCGTCAGAACAGCCACCCGGACAGCTGATGAAACTGAGGAGTATTTCTGTCTGTAATAAATCCCTTTTGTGGGGAAAAACTAATTCTGATTGGGTGGGCCTATGCCCTCCCAGGCCCACCCGTGGCTGCACCCCTGCCCAGTCATGTGAAATCCATAGATTAGGGCCTAATTTATTTATTTCAATTGATTGATTTCCTTATCCGAACTTGAAGTCAGTAAGATCTTTGAAATTGTTGCATGTTGATGGGGCGGCGCACAATTGGCCCAGCGTCGTCCAGGGTAGGGGAGGGAATGGCCAGCAGGGATGTAGCTCAGTTGGTAGAGCATGGCGTTTGCAATTCCTGGGTTGTGGGTTCGATTCCCACGGGGGGCCAGTATGACAAAATAAAAAAAATAATGTATGCACTCACTAACTGTAAGTCGCTCTGGATAAGAGTGTCTGCTAATTGACAAAAATGTAAAATGTAATGTTGCGCTTATATTTTTGTTCAGTATAAATAGCCAAGAAACACAAGGAAAATCTCAATTTAGTACACAAGTTAGACCAACTTTTATGCACATTGCTTCTAAAAACAAAATCTTTCAAGTGTGCACAGCCCCCCAGACAGGCAGTGTTGCTGCGCGAGGTGGGATAGCTATAACATTAGGATTCTTATTTCTTTGTGCATTACCAAATATGAAACAAAACGGCAGAAATATTTCAAAAACTAATACTGCAGCATTTATTTTTCTATAAAATCACTACTCACGTGGCCATACTTGACTTTTGACAATTTTTATTAAATGCTCGCACTGTAGAACCCTGAGTGTGACCACCCACCAATGTGGATGGTGAATTAGACATTCTTACCCGCCAATGCCAAAATCTACCCACATTTGGCAGGGTGTTCATTTTAGGCCCTGTTACCACTAGGCTGGAAGTGGAGCATGTGTACCTCCAGGTTGTCTTGGCCGTACAGCTCGATAGCTTTCTCCTCAGACAGACCACAGGCGCCATACTCCAGAGGGGTGAACACCGTGGTGGGAACATTCACGTAGTCACACTGCACACGACAACATTCAACCGCAGTTAATAATAACAACAAAGAGGGTGTGACAATTGACCGTCTGTACCAGGTGGTGTCACATCGGAGGTTTGCCAGGCAGAACATCCTACAGTACGATGATAGAAGCAAGGGAAATACTGTAAGGGGTTTCTCCTAGTTTATACATTTTAGGTAGGGAGCAAAGACCCCACCACATAACACCAACAACCAACATCCATATTTTCATTTGAAAGCAACAAGCTAATCTCCTCAAAGCAGAGGCACAACAGAGATAGTAAGGGGGGGGGGGGCACACTGCCGAAGGGTCACACTGTCAAACTGCCATGGTCTACCAATAGAAAATGTCCGACAATTACCTTGAGCGAGGCGCCCGTGTACAGCCGGCGTGCCAGCAGCTTGCCAGCCTGGATAGCCACGGGCGTCAGCTCCCACTTGCCCTCCAGGATGTCTCCGATGGCGTAGATGTGCGGCACGTTAGTCTGCTCCTCATCATTCACCGGGATCTTTCCGTTCCTGGGGGAGGCGGAGAATGAGAGAGTGGAAGCTTAGCGAGGGGAAATTATCTGACTAATTTTAGATCCCCATGGAGCCACAAAGGGGCAGTTCCCTGGCTTGAGAAATGTCACTATACAAAGAACTCTGTTCTATGATTTCACGGGTAAACCAATAACAGGATGTGTTGGGGGGGGGGACAATTTTTATGATGCATTATTTAAGTAAAGAAAATACCATATATGTCTAGGTTTTATCTGACAGTGACAGACAAAGGTCGTAGCCATGAAGAATGGGACTGAATGACTGACAGAGTGGGGCCAAGATCTTGTCATGGCCAATACGGAGAAAAAGTATACAGACGATGATATAGCATGTAGCGCAAATGATGAGACCGTCTGTGCCAGAGTTTTCTGCATAGACTAAGTGATTTTTCCTTAGTCCCAAAAGTATTTATATTTTTTGGAAATAATTTACGGAATGGTAAAATGTTTTCAGTGTCAATTTAAACGACCAAAACCAGATAAAGATATATAATTGTCTTATGAATAACAGCGAATGTGTAGAATTGTATGAAATTAGCTTTAAAAACCACCTAAGCCCCATTTTGATCCCAGAAAAACCAGTATGTACGCATTTGCATAATCTGATCTGATATCTGACCATGCAAAACAATTCCGACCAGGTCTAGAGAGTTTGGAGAGAATATGCGTGTGTGTCTATACAAGAGAATGTCATGCCACAATGAACAACTTCTCAAGTCACATTAAAACAACAAGCAATTTCACTGTTATTCATCAGACAATTAGCTTTTGTCAATAACCCCTCCTACCCTCACGTAACCTACACTCATGTATTACAACCTCGTGGTGCCCCTGGAACCCCGGTGCACCTTGAGCCGTGTGTCAGTCAGTCAGCCCCATGTTAAATGCTGATAGGGTCCCAGTCATATGACTGACTCAGAGGCGCACTCATGCGATTGCTTAATCCCTATGACCTAAAGCACTCTGTAAGGCTGACCCATTCATAACCAAACACGATGTTAGGAACAACATGAAAAACACGTTGTCCTCAATCCAGTTTACATGATTGTAAAGAAGCACAAGGTTTTTAGATACAGGCGGGTCCTAATGTTACAGCATTTTATATTTACATTTTTGTCATTTAGCATACGCTCTTATCCAGAGTGATTTACCGGAGGAATTAGGGGTAAGTGCCTTGTTTATGGGCACAGAGATTTTTCACCTAGTCGGCTCGGGGATTTCAACCTGCGACCTTTCGGTTACTGGCCCAACATTCTTAACTTCTAGGCTATTTGCAACCCCAGCACAAGGGGGTTTCTCTCCTTACAAAGCTCAAACTATGTTTTCTTTAGGGGGTGGATCAACTTTAATATTGCATATCGATTGTGGCTTCTATCAATGTAATTGTCTGCGTCATTTCCAATCCCCACATATACACACACAGTGCATTCGGAAAGTATTCAATGTAATTCATTCCCCTTGTCTTTTTCCATATTTTGTTAAATTACAGCCTTATTCAAAAACGGATGAAATTGTCCCCCCCCCCCCCCCCCATCAATCTACACACAATACCTCATAATGAGAACGCAAAAACGGGTTTAGACAGATTTGCACACTTATAAAAAAAAAAAAAAACTGAAATATCACATTTACATAAGTGTTCAGACCCTTTAGTCAGTACTTTGTTGAAGCACCTTTGGCAGCGATTACAGCCTTGAGTCTTCTTGGGTATGACGCTACAAGCTTCGCACACCTGTATTTGGGGAGTTTCTCCCATTCTTCTCTGCAGTTCCTCTCAAGCTCTGTCAGGTTGGAAGGGTAGCATCGCTGCACAGCTATTTTCAGATGTTAGATCGGGTTCAAGTCCAGGCTCTGGCTGGGCCACTCAAGGACATTCAGAAACTTGTCCCGAAGCCACTCCTGCGTTGTATTGGCTGTGTGCTTAGGGTCGTTGTCCTGTTGGAAGGTGAACCTTCGCCCCAGTCTGAGGTCCTGAGCACTCTGGAGCAGGTTTTCATCAAGGATCTCTCTGTACTTTGCTCCGTTCATCTTTGCCTCGATCCTGACTAGTCTCCCAGTCCCTGCCGCTGAAAAACATCCCCACAGCATGATGCTGCCACCATCATGCTTCACCGTAGGGATGGTGCCAGGTTTCCTCCAGATGTGATGCTTGGCATTCAGGCCAAAGAGTTAAATCTAGTTTCTCATGGTCTGAGAGTCTTTAGGTGCCTTTTGGCAAACTCCAAGCGGGCTGTCATGTGCCTTTTACTGAGGAGTGTCTTCCGTCTGGACATTACCATAAAGGTCTGATTGGTGGAGTGCTGCAGAGATGGTTGTCCTTCTGGAAGGTTCTCCCATCTCCACAGAGGAACTCTGGGGCTCTGTCAGAGTGACCATCGGGTTCTTGGTCACCTCCCTGACAAGGCCCTTCTCCCCCGATTGCTCAGTTTGGCTGGGTGGCCAGCTCTAGGAAGAGTCTTGGTTGTTCCAAACTTCTTCCATTTAAGAATGATGGAGGCCACTGTGTTTTTGGGGACCTTCAACGCTGCAGAAATATTTTGGTACCCTTCCCCAGATCTGTGCCTCGATACAATCCTGTCTTGGAGCTCTACAGACAATTCCTTTGATCTCATGGCATGGTTTTTGCTCTGACATGCACTGTCAACTGTGGGACCTTATATAGACAGGTGTGTGCGTGCCTTTCCAAATCATGTCCAATCAATTTATATTTTCCACAGGTGGACTCCAATCAAGTTGTAGAAACATCTCAAGGATGATCAATGAAAACAGGATGCACCTAAGCTCAATTGAGTCTCATAGCAAAGGGTCTGAATACTTATGTAAATAAAGTATCTGTTTTATTTTAAATACATTTGCAAAAATGTATAAAAACCTGTTTTTGTTTTGTCATTATTGGGTGTTGTGTGTAGATTGATGAGGAATAAAAAAAAAATATATATATATCCATTTTAGAATAAGGCTGTAATGTAACAAAATGTGGAAAAAGTCAAGGGGTCTGAATACTTTCAGAATGCACTGCACTGTACGTACACATACCTTTATTATTTTCCCCTAACCCTACCACCCGTCCCCTAATTGAAATAAACTAATGAATCACACACACAGACCCCGAGCTCAGGGTGGCAATAGTGCTGAATCACCATGACTGTGGTGATTCTTAAAGGTCACCATGACTGTGGTGATTCTTAAAGGTCACCATGACTGTGGTGATTCTTAAAAAGGTACAGGCACACACAACCCCCCCCCTCTACGTCTACGTCTCCTTGGTGACGGCTGCAAGCGCGAATGGGTGAATGAAATAAGGGAGAGAAACTAAAAGGGAAGGAAACTTACTTGGGGTTGACTTTGACCCCGGCTTGATCCAGGCCGATCTTTCCTGTACAGGCGTCGCGCCCCACGGCTATCAACACCTGAGGGAGGACAAGGAAGTCACCTGGTTAACAGGACGTTTCTCCAGCTGTAGCGTGTCATTAAAACATTCAAATAAAGCAGGAATTACTCCATTTCGCTGACGAAACATATTCTAGTTATGACAAATGCTCTAAGACGGACAACCATGCAGAGTTAATTCCTAATGCAATATGGTTGCGGATTTAACTCTTAACTATTGGTTTCATTTATAAGTGCTAGATTGACTTTGGGACGCCTAAGCTATGGGATATTGGGGGTTAAGGGGATGGTGATGCGTACGTACAGTGTTGTACTCTCCCTCGATGGTCTCGTCTCCCTCCGTGCTCTTGGCTGTCACCTTCAGCCTCCCAGGAGTGCCTGCCTCCAGCTCCTCCACCTGAGACACACACACACACACACACACACACACACAAATACAAATATCTTGCATACAATTCGTTTTATATCTAGTTACAAAATGTCGAACGCTATAATGGCCAGGTGAACTGAAGGAATCTTTTTCTCTGAAAGAGCACGTGGTTTCTAATTTAGTTTGCCTTCACAGGCGAACAGCAATCAAGGTTAGACTTAAACTGATGACAGGACTCTTTAGATAGAGAGCAACAGATTACACAACTTCCCCGATGACAGAGCGATTTAGTACCAGGCATTTCCAAGCCATGAGTCATAAAAGCCCTGAACAGCTGAGGAAACCTACAAGGTCCTAGTAGACAAACACTTTTTGAAATAATTTAAAATACTAGCTGTGCTTGATTGAGCTTACCTGTTGCAATGGAACCAATAGAAACGTTCCAACAGTGCACACACTACCCACCTGACATTTCAGGCAGGCTAAAGCAAAACGAAAGATTTCAAAAAACTATTTTAACCCAGGTCTGGTAGTAGATAAGTCACATTGGCTCACCTTGACAGGGACGTACTTCCGGAGGAACTTTACGCCATGCTCCTCCATGTGCTTGCCGGCACGGTTGGCCATGTCCTGGTCGAAGCCCCTCAGCAGGATGGAGCGTACCATGACTGTCACGTCCAGGCCAAGGCCCGCCAGGAAACCCCCGCACTCCAGCGCTACGTAGGATGCCCCGATCACCAGGGTCTTGCCGGGGCAGTGGGGCAGAGAGAACAGGTCATCACTGCGTACAAGGGAGGGACACACACAGGTATAGCAGCCAGAGTAGAATGCACCTTCGTTAAAAACATAATGCTCTTAAATGTACCAACGCCACAATTCACCCATTCTTTCTGTAATTAGCATGTGAAATACTTGGATTGTCAGATTGATTCACTAAACAAAGTTACATCTTTAAAATGTCAACAGTTAATCTCCCAAACTATACACAAAAAGACTGGTGAGCCTGGGACTTTATGAGACCAGTAGATAAGTATGTCATCTGAGAACTTAGTTATTCAGTCACAATTAGGGCTGACCCCATTTAGTCAACTGGTCGATTGTTTGGTTGATAGGCTGTTGGTCGACCGAGACTGCTTTAGTCGAGCAGTAGCAAAAAAATTAAATAATTAATGGTGTACAAGACACCTGCCTGATTGGCGCCTGTCTGAGTGGACTAATCCATTGTGGAGGCCGTGGGGATGTCACAGTCCATCACTCTAAGACGTGCGACTGAAATTATATATGGTTATATTATGTAAGAACAATGGTGCAACAAAGAAAAGTTATATATTTTATAACAAATGGGCCTTCTCCCACGTTGGATATTGGTCACTGTCCATGGTTCTGATATTGGCTCATTTCCTAGACCATGTTGCTATGTGCATAATAGCAAGCAGCAGCGGAGTTGGGAGACGAGAAAACGGCACTTGCCTTAATTGTCTAAGAAAAGTGAGGAAACAAACTTAATTAGGTCTATAATCAATAGCCTAACTATAAATCATCCATATACAGTACCAGTCAAAAGTTTGGACACACCTACTCATTGAAGGGTTTTTCTTTATTTGTACTATTTTCTACATTGTAGAATAATATTGAATACATCAAAACTCTGAAATGACACATATGGAATCATGTAGTAACCAACAAAAAAAAAAGTGTTAAAACAATGAGATTCTTCAAAGTAGCCACCCTTTGCCTTGATGAAAGCTTTGCACACACTTGGCATTTTCTCAACCAGCTTCATGAGGTAGTCACCTGGAATGCATTTCAATTAACAGGTGTGCCTTCTTAAAAGTTAATTTGTGGAATTTCTTTCCTTCCTAATGCATTTGAGCCAATCAGTTGTGTTGTGACAAGGTAGGGGGGTATACAGAAGATAGCCCTATTTGGTAAAAGACCAAGTCCAGATTATGGCAAGAAAAACTCAAATAAGCAAAGAGAAACGACAGTCCATCATTACTTTAAGACATGAAGGTCAGTCAATACGGAAAATTTAAAGAACAGTCGCAAAAACCATCATGAGCTATGATGAAACTGGCTCTCATGAGGACCTCCACAGGAAAGGAAGACCCAGAGTTACCTCTGTGGCAGAGGATACGTTCATTAGAGTTAACTGCACCTCATATTGCAGCCCAAATAAATGCTTCACAGAGTTCAAGTAACAGACAACAGCAACTGTTCAGAGGAGACTGCGTGAATCAGGCCTTCATGGTGGTCGAATTGGTGCAAAGAAACCAATATGAAGAAGAGACTTGCTTGGGCCAAGAAACACGAGCAATGGACATTAGACCGGTGGAAATCTGTCCTTTGGTCTGATGAGTCCAAATTGGAGATTTTTGGTTCCAACCGCTGTGTCTTTGTGAGACGCAGAGTAGGTGAACGGATGATCTCCACATGTGTGGTTCCCACCGTGAAGCATGGAGGAGGAGGTGTGATGGTGCTTTGCTGGTGACACTGTCTGTGATTTATTTAGAATTCAAGGCACACTTAACCAGCATGGCTACCACAGCATTCTGCAGCGATACGCCATTCCATCTGGTTTGCGCTTAGTGGGACTATCATTTGTTGTTCAACAGGACAATGACCCAACACGCCTCAAGGCTGTGTAAGGGCTATTTGACCAAGAAGGAGAGTAATGGAGTGCCTACTCAGATGACCTGGCCTCCACAATCACCCAACCTCAACCAAATTGAGATGGTTTGGGATGAGTTGGACCGCAGAGTGAAGGAAAAGCAGCCAACTAGTGCTCCGCATATGTTGGAATCCTTCAAGAAGCTGGTTGGGAGAATGCCAAAGCTGTCATCAAGGCAAAGGGTGGCTATTTGAAGAATCTCAAATATAAAACACTTTTTTGGTTACTACATGATTCCATGTGTGTTATTTCATAGTTTTGATGTCTTCACTGTTATTCTACAAATGTAGAAAATGAAGAACAACCCTTGAATGAGTAGGTGTCCAAACTTTTGACTGGTACATCTCCAGAAATAAGCCACATCCTACTTCTGTTGCCTGTTTGAGTGTTTGTTTAATAGCCTACTGATTCCCTGAGCACCAAGCCTCACGCAACCACATCTGATAAACTATTTCCCAAATCCAGCTGTTTTTAATCTTTGCTATGCTGTAATAAAGGCTTTACACTTTTTTTCCTCGTTAGACCAGTCTCTTCTTTATTATTTATTTTGTGTTGTTTACAAAATTATATTTATAATATTATTATTATTATTATTATTATTATTATTAATAAAAACCCTCCTTTTTCCTTGATCTTGTTGTTTTCATCATAATAAGTAATGTAATTAGTAGGCTTAGTATAGCAGCCTTGCATAACCACCATCGAACTGTAGGCCTAAGAGCGCATCCTCTTTAGTCTTAATGCCGTAACTTACTTAGGCCTATATTTCAATACTTACAGTATATAGGCTACTGTATCAATCACTTATTCGTTCATGTCATCACACGAGTCATTCATGATTTGAAATGCAATCAAGCATTTTAGTTTTAAAATAACAAAGCGACCATTTAATAATTAGCATTAACAATAAATAGGCCTAAACCGTTCCATTTCGGAAATTGCGTTCACTAATTAATGCGACTGTTTTTAGTCTTTGCTGTAATAAAGGTGTTACAAACTCTCTGGCACGCTTATAATTTAGAGTTGTTTACATTGGAACAAATGGTCAGACATTTATTGTAATCTAACAGCACCTGTTTGGCACACATAATATGCACGCAGCGCTGGCTACTCACCTTATTTTTCTTGATCTCCAGTATTTTCCACAACTAGTCAAATGTATTCTACACGTCTGACTTTCCCCTTTACCTCCTGAGCAACCAGTAAACATTCCCCCGTTTTGAGTTTATTTGTCACGTCCTCCATTTTGCTGTCACGCGTTAGTGTTAAGGGTTTGTTATAACCAATTTATTGATGTAATTATGATATGCTATAGGTCAGGCCCTATTGGTCACGTGTATACAACGTGCATGCGACGCATACGTGTCACGTAAAGAGAGCAGCGAAATAAACTGTTAATGTTCTGTGGTGGTCGCTGCAGCAGGGAGGACAGGGAGAAAACAGGTGCTAGTCACACAGTCACTTGCTGTCTTTTTTTTTTAACACAGCAAGTCTGAGCACAATCAAATCAATTGCGGTCGGACTCCTAGTCATTTGTGTCTTAATTTCATCAAACAGTTCGCTTATAGCATCAGACAAGCTCAGTGCAGATAGTTGATTTGATTAAAACACATTTTTAAAATGTCGACCAATCGATTGGTCAAAAGAACAGATGACTCTTGGTCAACCAAGATTTGTTTTAGTCAGGGACAGCCATAGTCACAATACAACCATTAGACATAGAACCTGCTTCAAATGGTACAGAGATGGCTACCAGGGTCTGTTCCTATGATAACAACACACCAGTCTACAGCAGCAGGGGGTAATCTTCTAGGAAACCTGTGTTTAGGCTGGTGGGAGATTATAGTCTTACTAAATGAGTACCCTGAGATACAAGGCTTCCTGTGGTGGAAATGAGAAAAGTGAGCTTACTTGCAAAGTGTGTGTGTGTGTGTGTGTGTGTGCATGTGTGTGTCAGAGCGCAAACTCAGCTACAATGTTCCACATCCCTTATACCCATCCACATGTTACATGAGTCAGCATTACAGACAAATGCTTTAATCTGTACAGTCTTGGTAGAGCTGGGTCATATTCACTAGGCTCCAAATGGAAGGACACAGACAAACAGGGAGGGATTACCTGATCTTGTCCAATTAGAAATGCTTGTTTTTCCATTTGTTGCAAAAGGTTTCGCCACGGTGTGCACTACAGAATACAACCCTTCAGTGTGTTTGTCTCTATTGTGGTGATTGAATAACGAGGGCTTTCCCCTGGCTGAACGGCAGTGTAATTGGATTGCGGGTTAAATAATGCCTGCTGTGTGCTGGGAGGGAAGGAGGAGGGGAAGGACTCACCTGGTGATGCAGTACTCTTTGTCTCCGGGGATGCCCAGGTAACGTGGCCTCTCGCCCGTCGCCAGGATAAACTTTGCGGCCGTATGGAAGGTCTCCTTCCCTCGCTTGTTGGTCGCCTGGTGGGTGGAGGGGGTAAGTAGGGTGTCAAACATTCTTCACAGATTTATTTTACTCTCGTACACACTAAATAATTTCCATTAAAACCAACACTTAGCCTCATCTCATTTGTTGAGTGTGGTTAGCAAGAATCAATGCGTCAAGTCAAGGGTGTGCGGTTTAGAACCTCCCATGGGAGAGACAATAGCTGCTTTACTAAGTGCTGTGAAGTGTACAGAGCCATTAAATATCTTTGGGATTAGTTTAAGCCAAGGAACTAACAAAGCTAGTTACTATCCAGTTTGAGAATACATCATGTGCTGTGCATCTAAAACAGTTCACATCCATTTTCACACCGAATTGACTGCCTTCTAAACGGGTAAAATGGAAGGCAGTCAATTCATTATAAAGCATTAATAACTGTGGTCAAACATCTGCTTGTAAACTCACGAAGCGCCGACCAACCTTGATTTTGTGCGACTCGATGAACTCAGCATAGGAGTTGACGTAGTTGACGTTCTTGTCGCGCAGCGCCACCCGGTAGCCCCAGTTCAACGAGCCAATGTAGTTGTTCACCGCCGTCTTCATCGTCTCCCAGTTGTGCTTCACTAAGAACCAGATGAGAATTACAAAGTCAACAATGACCACACAAGTCTTTAGTTGTTTACTACCATTACTGCAAAAGTACTCCCCTGGAAATGTAACATTGACATTTCCATGACCTTCGGTTACCTCAGGCTCACGAAGAGGGCTTAAACAATAATGTTTTCAAATCAAAAAGTGACTTATACCTTCTCATGTTTCATTCCTAGCACTGGCCATGGCTCTGCTCCAATATCCTTACTACTTTGGTTGAGTTCATGTGTTGGGTAGAGATGGGCATTTGAATGTTCGAGTACTCACCCCCAAAAAATTCAGAGTACTCGGAATGGGGAGAAAAAGTATCTACTTTAGAACACAAGGGCAAGACCTGCACTGGAAGAAAATACTTTTGGCCATTTATCTATATGCCAACAGTACACAACAATGCCTCATTTATCATAACCATTAGCTATAACACATCTTCATTGCTAAATTGCCTCATATACTGTATATTGAGTCCATAAAAAAGCAAGTGCCCTTTAAGATTCATTTATTGAAACCATAATATGAACTGGTTATATTATATTGTGGAACACAATCTTCCGAAAGGCTGTAACCTCAGCAGTGGCGCTTGCTTGTAGAAGCCTGTGGCTGTGCAATGGCATAGCCTTGCTTGGTTAATTTAGCAGACAAGACACTCTTATTTTCCAAGCCCTTATCACAGTCAAGACACCTATTACATAGCAACACAGGAGGTTGGTGGCACGATAATTGGGGAGGACAGGCTTGTTGTAATAGCTGGAGCGTAATGGTATCAAATACATGGTTTCCATGCGTTTGATGCCATTCCATTAGTGCCGTTCCAGCCATATTATGAGCCGTCCACCCCTCAGCAGCCTCCACTGTTAATAGAAAAAAACATGAAATATAGCAGAATATTTTTCCAAATGAAAAAGTTGCCAGTGCGAAGTGATGCGCGTCTAGAACAGTTACAGTGAGTGAAAAAAGTATTTGATCCCCTGCTGATTTTGTACGTTTGCCCACTAACAAAGAAATGATCAGTCTATAATTTTAATGGTAGGTTTATTTGAACAGTGAGAAACAGAATAACAACAAAAAATCCTGAAAAACGCATGTAAAAAATGTTATAAATTGATTTGCATTTTAATGAGGGAAATAAGTATTTGACCCCTCCGCAAAACATGACATAGTACTTGGAGGCAAAACCCTTGTTGGCAATCACAGAGGTTAGACGTTTCTTGTAGTTGGCCACCACTCCTCTTTGCAGATCTTCTCCAAGTAATTAAGATTTCGAGGCTGACGTTTGGCAACTCGAACCTTCAGCTCCCTCTACAGATTTTCTATGGGATTAAGGTCTGGAGACTGGCTAGGCCACTCCAGGACCTTAATGTGCTTCTTCTTGAGCCACTCCTTTGTTGCCTTGGCCGTGTGTTGTGGGTCATTGTCATGCTTGAATAGAAGGAGGTTCTCACCCAAGATTTGACGGTACATGGCCCCGTCCATCGTCCCTTTGATGCAGTGAAGTTGTACTGTCCTCTTAGCAGAAAAACACCCCCAAAGCATAATGTTTCCACCTCCATGTTTGACGGTGGGGATGGTGTTCTTGGGGTCATAGGCAGCATTCCTCCTCCTCCAAACACGGCGAGTTGAGTTGATGCCAAAGAGCTCGATTTTGGTCTCATCTGACCACAACACTTTCACCCAGTTCTCCTCCGAATCATTCAGATGTTCATTGGCAAACTTCATATGTGCTTTCTTGAGCAGGGGGACCTTGCGGGCGCTGAGGGATTTCAGTCCTTCACGGCGTAGTGTGTTACCAATTGTTTTCTTAGTGACTATGGTCCCAGCTGCCTTGAGATCATTGACAAGATCCTCCTGTGTAGTTCTGGGCTGATTCCTCACCGTTCTCATGATCATTGCAACTCCACGAGGTGAGATCTTGCATGGAGCCCCAGGCCGAGGGAGATTGACAGTTCTTTTGTGTTTCTTCCATTTGTGAATAATCGCACCAACTGTTGTCACCTTCTGACCAAGCTGCTTGGCGATGGTCTTGTAGCCCATTCCAGCCTTGTGTAGGTCTACAATCTTGTCCCTGACATCCTTGGAGAGCTCTTTGGTCTTGGCCATGGTGGAGAGTTTGAATCTGATTGATTGATTGCTTCTGTGGACAGGTGTCTTTTATACAGGTAACAAGCTGAGATTAGGAGCACTCCCTTTAAGAGTGTGCTCCTAATCTCAGCTCGTTACCTGTATAAAAGACACCTGGGAGCCAGAAATCTTTCTGATTGAGAGGGGGTCAAATACTTATTTCCTCATTAAAATGCAAATCAATTTATTACATTTTTCCCATGCGTTTTTCTGGATTTTGTGTTGTTATTCTGTCTCTCACTGTTCAAATAAACCTATCATTAAAATTATAGACTGATAATTTCTTTGTCAGTGGGCAAACGTACAAAATCAGCAAGGGATCAAATACTTTTTTTCCCCTCACTGTATTCTCAAAGACTGATCACTTGAAACGGGGCTTAGTTTGGTGCGTTGAAAGACAATTTCTTCATGGTTACAAAACAAAATCTGGTCTTCCTTTCGATATAGGCGTACAGACATACAATTTAGTTAATCTGCCTGTTCTTTGGAATGTTCTAAATGGATTAATAACTCCACATTGAACACTGTATGGTGATGAATTACGGCCACATCATCGGTTTGGTCAGTAGGCCTAGGCTTAATGATTCTGATGAAAATACACTTTCTTAATCAAACTTGTGATTTTACATATTTTCAGCGTGGAATCTGTCTATGTTTAGGGGTTATAGCCTAGGCTAACCAATTCTAAATGGCACTAGCAGTTCTCAAATTAGCCTAAGTGGAAAATAGACCGGCTGGAATTATTCCAAAACTGCAGCTCGTTGTTGGAAACTGTCGTTATTTGGCAAGGAATGTAGCTTGTGTATCCCACCAGTTAGAGGCATTTGTTTTATGCCCTCCATTTTTAATAGGCATTTATTATTATTTCTGTAGGCCTAATGGGAGATTGTGTTCAAACTCTGCATGCGTGTGTAGAGGGAGCAGTCCTAACGGAGAAGAACTGTGATGCTTGCCTTGGTTTCTTTTTTGTTGTGTTCCGCAAATGCACATGTACAATTGGAACACTAGAGTCAAAGCAAATTAACGTCGTCTTCAAGACAATATCATTTTCAGGACAAGCCACAAAGCACACTCCACCAAATAGTTTTACAGTACTTGAAATGTTTTTTGTTTATCGCTGGTTAGAGATCGAGTTTTAATGTCCGTTCGAGTACTCATGCCCGCTCCTAGTGTTAGGCATGCATTCCAAGTGACTAAAATGGATATTAGAACCTAAACCGCTGACCCAGACGTTACCTGTCTCCTCGGGCAACTCCCACCCAAACTTGCGGGCGTCCTGCATGGAAGTCCCTAGCAGGGCCGTCTGGTGCATCAGCTTCTTGGGGATGCAGCCCACGTTCACGCATGTGCCGCCCAGGCCTGTCCCGAGCCAAAGACACATACAGAATCACACATTTGGAGATTTCATTTGGATCCACATTGACACATGCAGACATGTTGCTACTGATAACAGCAGTATTCTGCAAGCTATTTTGATTTGTGCTTCGGTGGGCCTGCAGCAGTGTGCTGTAAGAGGATGTCTGAAACAACCACAAATAACTACCAGTTCAGTCGAGGAGACGCACGTGACTCAACTCATCAATGTCCATCGAAGAAGAGTGTGACACGTGAAGCCATACTCACCCCATGTGTTCCCTTTCGGCGTGGGCACCACATAGTCCAACACCATCACCTTCTTGCCCAGCAACGCTGCCTCCTGTCCCAGGAGAAGCACAAGAGGGCAGACAGCCATTTAGACAACTTGATTAAGACAACCACTGGTCAACTAGCTCAGCTTGTATGCTTTAGTTGTATTGCTGCGATGACGAGCCATCTGAAATACTCACCATGGCTGTCTGAAAACGTTACTAGCTGTCATGTCTTTGCTTTTTCCCATCCTAACTTCATCTCCAAGCTCTTTAGAGGGAGCTTGGGTCCTCTCCTCCAATGCGCTTTGAGAGGAATTGAGGAAACAAGGACAGAGGACGCAAGGATTGTACAGCTAGTAACGTTCTCAGACAGAGGCCATGATAGACTGGACTACAGCCTTCCTTCATGGGCCTCAATACTACACTAGAAAGGTGCAGGTCTGGAGGCAAGGTTGATTTTAAACGCGTTATCTGGGAGGCTCTTACCTTTGAGCAGGCCAGGCCTCCCGAGCCGCCCCCGATGACGATGAGGTCGTAGTCGTAGACCTCATTCTCCCCGCACAGCAGTTGCTGCAGGACACCATCTTTGTGGGCCTGAGAAGAGGATGACGACAGGTGGTCAGATACCATGGTGAAAACAATATTAACCCAGCAGTCTTAAAAGGGCACAAAAAAAGGTCTGCTTCTGGTGGGAAATAGACAAGTGTAATACAGTAAGGACACCAGCATGCTAATTTATGATCCCAAAAATGGTGCTTACTGAAAAGTGTGCATGGCTATGAGAGGCGGCAGGTAGCCTAGCAATTAAGAACGTTGGGCCAGTAACCGAAAGGTCGCTGGTTATAATCCCTGAGCCGATTAAGTGCGGGGGGGAAAAAATATGTCTATGTACCCTTGAGCAAGGCACTAATTGCTCCTGTAAGTCGCTCTGGATAAGAGTGCCTGCTAAATGACTAAAATGTAAAAAGGGTATTCTACATTCAACAGCGACGCTGACACCATTCATGCCGGAGGGATGTTCTCCGTGCCACATGATGGAAATTAACCAGCATTTGCTAGAAAAGGGCAAGAGACAGAACACATGGTGATATTGTCAGGATTATAATACATCAGGAGAATGTGTTTCAAGTGAAATATACGCTATTGTGTCATGCTGACAAAGTGCTAGATTATGCAAAGCATGACCAGGCAAAAAAAAGTGTATCATTAGCTAATTGCAGCTCAGTGTAGAGGGAAGAGAATACTCTAGGTGTGGGTGTTCTTAAGGAGCCATTTTGATGTAAAAAGACAAATGGAGTGCATTTTGATGTAAATTGGCTTAACCACACTTGACCCAAATAGATTCACTCAACCCTTGTTTCTGGCAAAACGGACAAAGACTCTCTTTCGTAATATTGCGACACAATTAAAGCCTGCGGTGGGCATCATTTACCACATGCTAAAATGAAAGGGGAACCTATGACATCAAACGCAAAGATATCTTTCATTGCCACAACCTGAGATTTTAGCCTAAGTTTGATGCATGCTTGAATCTCAAGACAGGATAAGCCCAAGATTCTAAAAGCGGTGGCATTTGCAAAACCACGAGTGAATTGAGAATGATCTGTGGTTCATGAAAGCAGCTACACCGATCCATACCTTCATTGTTTTGTCACAGCCACCGACGTGTGTCTTGTTGATGAAGACATTGGGGACAGTTTTCTGTCCGGTCATCTCAAGCAGCAGTTCTTGATAGTTTGATCCATCCTCTAGACACAACCGTTAAGAGATGTTAGCAGAGTAGCAGCTACATTTATATGAAATTAATCATTAATCCTACTGTTCCTTTCATATCTTTGACATGTACACTAGAGTCATATACATGACATGCATTCATACACCATCGACTTCAATTCTAAGTGCTGACAGCCTGTGCAGTCTATAATGTAAATGTACTTTGGTTCTGCAAACAAACACAGTGTGTTTAAATAAATTGCATAATTCAGTACTGGAAATCTTTTCTAAGTGTATTTGCCAGAGCAATAGTTATTCCATGCACAGTGTGTATTTATACCAGAACAGCTGTGACTGGTGAGAGATCAAATGGCTGGGGGGGAGACTTCATCCGTATGCACTTGAATAGCACACCCATCCGGCTATTCTTCATTTATTTATTTTATTTACATATAGTAAATAAGATGTGTGAATTTAGAATGGGCCAATATCATGCACCTGTCAGAAGGGGGGGGGGGGGGTTCATCCATTTTAGTCATTTAGCAGAAGCTCTTATCCAGAGCAATTTACAGTTAGTGAGTGCATAATTTTTTTTTTTTCATACTGGTCCCCCGTGGGAAACGAACCCACAACCCTGGCGTTGCAAACGCCATGCTCTACCAACTGAGCTACACGGGAATAGCGAATGGTCCACAATTGGCCCAGCGTCGTCTGGGTTTGGCCAGTGTAGGCCGTCATTGTAAATAATAATTTGTTCTTAACTGACTTGCCTAGTTAAATAACGGTAAAATAAATAAATAAAATAGCAGGCCTAGCCTATAGAAAGCTGATCGGCTCTTCCTCTTTTTAATAGAGCCATCAAAACTATTTCCTCAAGCAATTGCATAGCCTATAGAAATGTTGCGCAACATAGACTTATTTCACTTTCGATTTAATTTGCATTGATGTCAGAGTGATTGGAGGGACAATAGAGTGCGGAGTACCAGGCAAGTTTGGAAGGCTACTAATGTACATCAGCGGCATCAGAGCGCAGTTGGAGAAGCCTAGTTACCGTGACTCAACTGCAGTCATGAGTCGTGACTACCGGTGTGGCGGTATTACAGTCACAATAACAGACCAAGTTGGTACAATTTTGATCATACCGATCAAAGACAACTACACAATTTGTAAGTCGCTCTGGATAAGAGCGTCTGCTAAATGACTTAAATGTAAACGTAATGTGGTGTGACTGGCATAAATTGAGAAAAGACAGTGCTGAGTACACCCGTCTTCCAATAAAGAAGCTTGACAAGTCCTGGGAACAACTCCTTACCAATTAAATCCAACTCCACTACATTGCAGTTCACGTTCAGCTCCTTGAACAGATCCTTCACCTGGAAAGAAAAAGATGTATGCTGCTTGAACCCCGTTGTTTTATCTTCGCGGTATTATCTATTTATAGGGCTATTACCAGCGATGTAACTCGCTAGCCAGCGTGGTAGTCATCCAGCTAGTTCTGCGTAACGTTACACAACAACGTAACAGGGAGATAAGCGGCGCCTCAGTCAATACATTTTTTCATGGAAAGCTAAAACACTAGTTAGTAGTAAAGACAACTAAAAGTTAGTTAAGTTTTCTAACGTTAGCCCAAGATATCTACCTAGTTATGGACCCAGGACAATCCTCCCTAGGCCCGACCCGTATCCTAACAGGTCCGGGTCTAGACCAGACCCGATTGGGTGGACCAGTGAAGACCTCTACATGCAGCCAATTACCGTTACTTGCGGGAGAATGTGCCTAACTTACTCGCGGGAGAAATAAGTAGGACAAAAGAAGCTAGCTAGCCAGTTAGACAAAAAGTAAACGCATATGTTGGACTTACCTTCACACAAAATGGACAGTGGCTTTTACTGAATACCAACACTTGATTAGAATCAATAAGCTCCTGTATCCGAGACTTTAGTTGATTCCTCCCGGTGTCATTGTCGATGGGAGGCATTTTCGGACTATTTCCGTCTGCCTTACCTCTTGGCAAGCTTCAACTTGTGTCTAGCAATGGAAGAGAGGAGCGAAACTCCCTCCAACTGATTGTCCTTGCGAATAACAGATAAAGAGACTCTAGCTAGCTTCTGGACTACAATTCCAACGGGACAACTTTTGTCCTCATTTCGTTTCAGCTCCCGCCCAGTACATCAACACCCCGCCCAGTACATCAACACCCCGCCCAGTACATCAACACCGCGAAATGTCTTGCGTAAATTTTAGGTCCTGCCTGCCTGCCTGCCTGCCTGCCTGCCTGCCTGCCTGCCTGCCTGCCTGCCTGCCTGCCTGCCTGCCTGCCTGCAGCCACAAATGTCTAAACCCCGCCTATTTCTACAATTTCAATTCTTAAAATAAAATCTGATTTTAAACCTAAACCTAACCCTAACCTTAACCACACTGCAAACCTTAAATTAAGACAAAAACATATTTTTTCCCCATTAATTTTTAAGATATAGGCAATTTTGACTTTGTGGCTGTGGTAACTAGTGAAAACCCTGTGCGTCCGTGTGTGTCAGCGGGATGTCTGTTTACATGCCTGAATGAATACTAACACTTGTTTAAACCTTTTTCTGAATAAATGTATTTATATGTGATCCAACCATATTATAAAATAAAACTGATGAATCAGTGAAACTGATATCGATAATGCATGTAATATTAATACGAATTCATAAAATTGTTGGAGGATCAACAGGCAATATTTTCAGACAGCTATAAGATTGCATTCGACAGCTTTCAGAGGGTCCTAAACCCCGCCTATTTTGGTCATGTCTAGATGAATATTTTGGTCATGTCTAGATGAATATTTTGGTCATGTCTAGATGAAATACAGCTTTTGTGTAATTTCACGTCAAAGGTATATTTTGGGGGGCAATTTAGCTAACCCTAACCGTTTTCCTAACCTTAACCAAATTATCCTAACCCTGCTACGTAAAGTCCATTTGGACAAAAGCTGTATCCCTTTTAGATAACCTTAAACAAAGGTTTAAAAAAAAGACAAAACCGCCTATTTCAACAATTTATCTTCTTAAAATCGGATTTTAAATCTAACCAGAGAAGAAGAGGTGAAGCCTCAATCAATAAAACAGATCATATTTGACCTAACCCTAACCACACTGCTAACCTTATGCCTAACCCTAACCTAAAATTACCAAAAAGCTCATTTTAGTTTTCATAAATGTTTATGATATAGCCAAGGACGTCCCAAGGATTCCGGATAGCAAAGAAAAATACTTGATAGCCACATGCAATTTTCTTGAGGGGGAGAGCACAAAGAAATGCATAAATATGTTTCTATTTGCATCGATCGATGCATCTGTTTCCACATGTATGTATTACTCAGTATAAGGATTACACGTTTTTTTCTTAAAGACTATAAACTTAAATTCTCTGTGTCTGTACTTTTTTAGGCTACATTAATTATTTGATATATGGTTCTTATAATCCATTGCAATTAGAAAGCGATTACTCAGACCCAATGTTTTGGCTCATAGCACCATCTGCTGGAAAGCAAGTGTACATCAAGGTCCCACTCCCAGTGTCCCAACCATAGAATGCGCTTTAAACAGTAAATTAGACCACTTGCTGTCTTTTCATTATTGTTTTAATTAATGATTTATATCTTCAACTGTTCACATTCCACTTTCAAATGTTCACTAGTAAATCACATATCAACCCCCCCAATTAAGGAGCATGAGAGATTCAATAAAAGATGTTGCAGAACTGCTGTATTTCAAGAACAACTCCCTTCTGCCCAATTTCCCTGACGTTGGTACGACAATCAATCTGTTTTTACCATCCTGTAACTGTCGCTTCTGCGGATAGATCGTTTCCTAAACTAAAACTCATGAAGAACGACCTAAGAAGTATCAGGCTCTCGGTCTGATATGCGCGTTTGAACACCTGAGTATGCTCCACTCATTGCACTGGCGCCGTCGTAGCCTTGACCCCGGCATTTGTTCACGGATATCCCCTTATACGTTAAATCTTAACCTTAACCAAATTCTCCTAACCTGGTATGTTAATTATTTTAACCTGCTGCGTAAATTCTCCTAACCTGCTACGAAAAAGTCACTTTCGGTCATAGCTGTATAGAAGTGGCGTGTTTTTAGGCTGTCCCTCCCTCAATTCGTTTCGTTAGTAGGCAAACAGAATATTGTCCTCCCCTCCTCGATAGCCTCCTTTTGGCAAGGAACTGCAAGCGTATCTACCTGAGTTTTGAAATCGGCCACGCTTGTTCGTCTTCTTCTTCAATGAGGTTTAACGGCGGTTGGCATCCAATTTGTTGCATTACCGCCACCTACTAGACTGGAGTTCAACTCCCTTATCTTTCCTTGAAAAATAAAATAAACCAAAGCAAATAAATATCCTACCATCTAACACTACACTCACACCTTCAACACTACAATTAATAATTAACCCCACCCTTCTCCACTGTTTAAATACACTCACTCCTACCTCATGCCCTCGACCTGAATTGATGGGACATCACCACTTAACACTCCCTGTAACTCTTCTGCTGTCAAGTCTCGCACACCCAAATATCTCTCTGCAGCTGCCACCACCACCTCAATTTTCATCAATTTGCGTTCCATCCCTGCAGTACAATTAATAACCATTGCTATAAACGCTAAAAATCCAATCTTGCTGAACCATATATCACTTTTTGGTTTATCCCTCTGTACTGGTACATCTCTACTACTCACAACATTTCTCTCAGGATCCCTCCCCCTTAACCCATCTTCCTCTACTTTCTTCACTGTCTCCGCATATGACAACTTCTTCTCTACTCTTACCCTGGATACCTCAACCTGCTTCTCTCGCACTGGACATGTCTGATCCCCAGCCGCATGGCCACCCCTACAATTAGCACACACCACCACTTTCCCCACTGCTTCACACTCCTTTGTCTCATGCCCTTCTGCACACTTCTCACACCTTGGAATCTCCCTCCTACACACTGTGGGGATCTATTTTCTCATAACTGGAGGAATGAATAGCTTAGAAGGAATTCATTGGTGATTAAAACATAGAAGGTTTGTACTGTACTGATATGAATTGTTTCACATAACAAGCTGTGATTCATGTGAGGAACGTTAGGGGGAAGGATGAGATAAGACTTGTATTTCTTACAGATACGAACACTGCCTCTTTGTTGTCTGTGAACCGTTGTCTGTGAACCGTCCTTGAACATAGGTACTTGCAGTACAGTGGAACGGTGTCTTTTGGGTGCTGACTCTACAGGTTGTTATGATAACAACTTATGCCTGGCAACAGTGTGCAACAGTGGAGCGCCAAGGGGCTGGGACCAGCCCGTGCGCCAACGGATAGGCTGAGTAAGTCTAAACCACGCTCAGTCTCTACTCTGATTGGCCAGCAGGGAGTGGGAAATATCTCTGTCAGAGTATTTGAAGAAGAACCTGTAACAATGGATCAGTTCTCTGTCTGCCCTGTGTGGTATTTCAGTGAGCCCGTATACGAACCAACATACTTATCATACATACATTTTGCATATAATAAATTTAGCTTGGATTGAATATCTCTTGATTATGTTTTCTCTTATTCCAATACCAGATTTGAATTACGCAATTTCTAACAACACTGCTGCAACATGCCCATAAGTTTGACACCTGTAATATCTTAAGGTATTCGGCACATATGCTCGCACTGGATAACTTATATATCCTACCTCACGTTCTCAGGCAAAGACTCAACTTCAAAACTCAAAACAACAGACAATGACTCTTCTGTTTCCCCACTCTCGCCACCCTGTTCACGTCGCACCAAACGACGAGCATCACACACACCGGAATCATCTCCTTCAGTTGGTCAACTTTTACATTCACTGCTACTCCAGTAATCACTCCTCTCAATGGCTCCCTTTTCTTAAGAGCGAAACAATTCACAATTCTTTCCCCCATTTGTTTAACTCTGAGCGCCTTCTCCCTCTGCCCAACAGAAACACAAACAATTATCACTAGACCACTTCTGGTTACCCTCACAGATTCCACTTTACCCAACGCTCTTTTCACCCATCATAAAACCACAATTGGATCAGCCAAAAGGCAAGGATCCATTTTTTCCACAAACTTCACTCCTACTATCACAGACTCATCTTTATCCTGACCCGCTGTGCAATCCTCGGGCTCCGAGTATTTCACCACACCTTCCACCTCCGATACATCACCCTCATTCACTTCCATTTCTACTCCTGTCTTCAGCTCACTTTGCTTACATTTCCTATCACTCTTCTTTAACAAACCTTCTCCCTTTTCCCCGCCATTTTTAACTGACTCAAACTCACAATCTTCCTCCATCTCTCTCTTAGACCTCCTCTGCCTCTCTTTTTCCCTCCATTCCTCCTCATTCACCCAAGTATACGTCTCCTTATGATAATACTGCGTTTCTCCAAACCTATATCTGTTTCTTACCTTCTCTAAGGACTCCATTTTCCCCCTCCTTTCCCTTCCTGCGTCTATTCTATCCTCGGCCTTGACCTCTTCATTGCTCTCCTCTTCTGATCCGCTGTCCTCCTCTCCTGAATCACCATCGTCTTCCGATCCCTCATCGGAGCTGTTATCCTCACTATCATCGGGACTTACTCCCTTTCCAACTGCTCGTCTTTTCGCTGAAGACGCCATGCTCCACCCCTCAGTCGGTCGGACTGATGGTCACACACCCCCTTTCAATCAGCTAATGTTTTCTCAAAGGAGAAATGTATGCAAACATTTAAAACGTTTTTAATAAAAACTAGATGCTACTTATACTTTTATCGATAAAATGTCTTGCACAAGTAGCTATATTTGTTTTTATCACTTCATACATTTATTTTGGGATTCCACCCTGTAAATGTAATTTGCCTGATGACGCGAGATTGGATGAGAGTCATTTCATACAAGCGCATTTTCATCCACTTTCCCTCTCCTCGCAGCCTCTCATCGATTCCAGAGAGGACACAGGAGTCCAGAGAGGACACAGGAGTTGAGGAAAAACATTTGAGAAAAGTCCAATGAAACACAGACTACCCTTGTTGATCTGGAGAC